CCCGAATGTAAAGTTGTGACACCCAGATCCAACGAAATGATCTTATAGATAAATACTTTAGTCAAATGCATCGAATTCCATAGCATTCACAGCGCATGTCAACGCTATTCTATGATGGCATCTGCTGGTCCATATCACCACGCCATGCCTCTCAGGAAGCTTCACCTCCTGACTCTAAACTCATCCCAGCGGCTCTTCGAAAACATCCGCCTGAGAGTCCCCCGGCCTGAATGGCGAGCGTTCGGAATTTTACAAAAACCACAAACCCAGATATGACACATGGGACTGCCGTATATGCCGATCAGGCCAGGGGTGGTGCCAGGGGGGGTCAATGGGGCGGCATATATGGCAGTATATGGCAGTCCCATGGAGTGTCTGGAGAAAACAAAACATGGAAGTGCACGTGCATGTGACGCATGCGAGCTTGGGCGGAGCACACTCAAGTTGCTCTGTTCCACGGTGATTTTTTCGAGAGCACCATAGCTATAGGCTATAGTCAAAGTAGGCAAGTCCAGATTTGCGTGTTACACACTGATGCCGCTGCAAGTCCAGTGGCATGGTCACCCAAATTCAATCAAGTATCAAAGCCAGTCCGGTACAAACTTGCATTGCCTAAGGCCTGAGGTGCCTTGGCCTCACCTTGCCTGACCTAATTTAGGGTAGTCATCTTTGGATTGATACCTTTTTCCCAGGTAACCCTCCCCTTGGTTGGAGACAAAAACGCCCAGGCATGCCAGGCAAGCTCCCCAATGACAAGCATTTCACCGTAGACTCGTGATTCTTAGCCCTCCCAAACATGAATTCTAAAAAGGCCTCTTCAGAGCTCAGGCCGGGTTTCACATCTAATTAATCCAAGAAGTCCACGTCTGACGCTTCCAGTGAAAATGATCCTTCAGACCGGGTCCGCCGGGGTCTTCATCCGAGGCCGTCAGTCCGTCGCCTGAAGATGTGGTCGAAATCAAAGGACCAGGACCTGCGATGGCGTTTCTTTTTCCGTTCGTTGGGACAACGAAAGGCACCTTCTGGGCGACTTTGGTGAGAAGTAGAGATGAGTTTTGTTCAGAAATTCTGGGTGGTGCATGGAGGAGAGGGATGAACATGATGATTGTACGTAATTAATATATATATATATATATAGTAATATATATATATATATATACACATAGTAAGCAAAGAAGTCCAACAACCCTTTGCTACCTGCTTGTGTCCCTCACTCCTTCCACCAAGGGATATCCCTTCATTGTTTTGTCTGTTCAGGGGCTGCTGGTCTCATCGAAAACGTATTGCGATCGGTGAAGTCCACCAAATGACCAAATCCACTCTAGAAACATTCTATTCCAGAAAGGGACCCAAATGATGCGTGAAGGGCCTGAAGAAAATCAATCTTTTGCACACCCTCGCGGTCTCCAAGCTTGGGATGGTGAGCTCAGCAAGCTCTTTTACCACCCTTTTGGTGGCCCACTTCGAAAGCTCCTGCCAGGTTCTTGATTTGAGCTGCCAGGTCAGCAGGAAGGATGGCCTTAGCTTCCTGCTTCCTTAACCGGTGATGGTCCAATCCCAACGCCCCAATAGGTCAAATCCCATCCCTCAGCGCCCAGCCGCTCGCGGTTCCGCGCCAACATCGACCGCTCCGCGCCGCGACGCTCGGCGACGTGGCAGCGGTTTGGTTTACAAGAACAGCCGACCACGTGACCTGTCACGTGACCCGTTAGCAAGTCCCGAAGTCATCTTGGGACTTGATCTTGATGCATCCATGGAATTCCACATAACTAGTATGAACCCATGTGAAGTTCAAGGTCACAGCACAGGTGGGCTGAAGAACCCAATGGAATCTGCACGCCCGCATGCCCTTGTTTTCACCGCGCATGGCGGAGGTGGCCGCACCACTTTGGGCGCTGGTAGGCTGGGCTGGAGTCTGGAGCAAATCTGCCGCTGGCGTCCTTCTCCTGTTGGAACTTGGCTTCTCAATCCACTCTTGGTTTAATTTGGGTGCGGTAGTTTTTCAAGGTCGCACAAAGTACCTTTCCACGCTATGAAAGCCTATCGGCTCTTGTAGCTTCCAGCCGCAGCCTGTGCCACATACGTTATCTACTGCTTTTCGTCGTCGGCAACTGGGTTTTCATCTGTATACGTATAGTCTTACCGGCTGGTTGCCAGCCAATAGATTCAATGGAGGTCACTCGCAGACTGAAAATCATGGGTTCCCAGTCAGTGCCAAACAGCACCACCCAGTCACCGCAAAAAGCTGATCTGTTTTCCAAATGAACCGGCACTTTGGCCGCATCACATGCGCTGGGTCTTGGTTTTGTATAGCGCTAAGTAGGGAATCAAGGGAATTTCCAGGGTGCAACCCCAAACAGCTGAAAGGGAAGGTCCAACAGCATGCACCCGGACCCGGATGACAAATTGTCGCACTTGTTGCTATACTTACTACTCTGCCCGCGTGCTTCTCCTACTATGCCCGCGTGCTTCTCCGAGAAAGCGCGTGAAGCATCTCGGACTTTCAGCACTAGTCCCATTCCTTCCCTACCGCTCGCCACCAGCTCCATCGACCGTCCGACGAGGCGGCACGGTCACCGCTCAGTACTGACGCTCCCAACCTGGAGTCGGAAGGGGAACCGGATCAAGCGCCGAGCCACCGCGTCGCAAGCTGCGAAGCCGAAAGAGTCACAATACCTTTCAGTGGGAGAAATTCCCGTCACAAAATTACAAGACATTGGTACGGTAGTAATAGTAATGGCAGGTAAAGGTAGTAAAGGCATTGGTAATAATGGCATTGGCACTCCCATTGGCAGTGAAGGTAGGGATCCAAGGGGAGCAAACACGGCGTCCGGTTCATGTCTTGACAGGTCCACGGGCCTTTCTCCGATTTGGTGAGCACCTTGGAGAGTTGGTGACGAGCACGAATTGAAGCGGAACCTCTCAAGATCCGTTCTTCATTATTTTTTGTGCTGTGCCTGTGTGAAACACCAGAGGAGTAATTGCATGTGTATATAAAGTCAAGCATTCCGTTTACAATGTAGCCTGCTGATGCCTGTTGCGTGTTTTTTGCGCTTGCTCCTCCTGTAGGACACAAGCGGATAAAGAGGTTCCTTCCTCACCTTGCACTGTCATGTTTGTGGCACGAAGGCGCGATAACAAAAAATGGTTGGCACACACTCCAACAGAAGGGGTTGTCTATGTGCAGCACACCCACTATTTGCACAAAACATGGTCTTGCTGGGTTCATTGTCCGTGTCTATTTTTGTGAAGGTAGAATATAAATGCCATTCATCAGCTAAAGGCGCGTAAGCCAGGCCCCTCCTCCAAAGTTCCCGGCTGCTGTCTGTGAAGAAGCCTTGGAACCGGTCCAGGTGGAGAGGCTAAATCGACCGCTTGGCATCAGTTTCGATTGCTTTGCATGACTTCAGGTTCGGCACCGGCATTGTGTCATGGCCAGGGTGTTTCTCAACATCCGCCTGTTACAGTTCCAGGTTGCCTGTCAATATCTTTCAATCTTTGTAGCAATACTAGTAGTACCCACTGGCATGTGTTCCCATGTACTTGTCCTTGGTCTCACCCCAAACAAACGATGCACAACCGCCAGGCGCATCATGAGAAACGACATCTCTTTTCATGTCTCAAACCCCAATACCACTCCCAAACACTCCATGGGACTGCCATATACGCCCATGTCATGCAATCTCAGCATATATGGCAGTCCCAGTCCCAATTTAATGATTCACCCCACAAAATGAACCCCACAGCGCCCACCGAACCCAACCACTTGATCCACGAGAGGTCTCCCAGACGCTCCATGGGACTGCCATGTATGCCGATCAGTTGGAGTGGTTTTGGGGGGTCAATGTAGGCATATATGGCATACATGGAGTGTCTGGGTATTAAAATACTTGAGAAAGGAAAGGTAGCCTCCAAAATCCGAAACACAAATCCTGGTTGGTAGCCATTGTGTCTTTCCACCAGTCCGCATGTTTTCGTTTACTCGTTCCTTTCTAGTCTCGTGCGACGCTCCATGAAGCTGCCTGGGCTAAACTCAGGCTTTGCGTCACCTTTCTAGTCTCGCGCGACACTCCATGAAGCTGCCTGGGCTAAACTCAGGCTTTGCGTCGCGTACGCCGTGTCTGGCGTCAATTATGCTCTACTTGAACCATTCGTTGTGTTTCAGGATGTCTTTACCGGGTTCTGCCACAAAGCGGACCCTGTAGTAGGCCCTGTAGTAAGCAGCCCCGTGTTCGTCAGCAGGCCCGTGTTGGTCTGCTTGCCAAGATTCCGTCTGCAAAACAAAGAATCATCGTGAATCTTCACAGCCTATCAGATATATGACAGTAATCTTTCATTTATCGTTTGATTCTCGCCTCTTTGTTGAGGTACAGGAGCATCCAGTGGCCTCATGGCTGCAAAACTAGGATGGAGGCCATCGATTCTAGCACGAGACTGGTCTTTCCTGCCTGCTTTCACGAGCTCACGACAAATGTATGTGGGACAGCCATCGGCGTTATGTAGTAGCTCGTAGGCGTACTCATTGCCATCTCGGTAGAACGACGCGGCATCCCCGAGGCAGGAACAGCGTTCGTTTGGACTGAGTTCTCAGCGCTGGATGGCTTTTTTGGTTCCGGTCCATAGTCGATCGGGCGCCGCCAGGTGAACTACCTCCTGTGGCTATCAGTGCGGAATATCACACGATGCTCTTTTTCGTAAGGGTACCGGTTGAGCAAGGCATGAAATCCATGCTTGGACTCGGTTTCATTGAGCAACGCTTTTCTTACGAACTTTTCCAGCAAACGTCCCTCTGGGCTGTTGTCAGCAGCACGACAGTGTTTCAACCTATAGGGACCCGGCCATCCTGCAACCTAGGAGAAAATCGCAAAGCGTTGGATTGCAAGGTGTCGACTTTAGCCTGCAGGAAAAGAAAGCACCTCCCTCCTCCTCCTCCTCCTCATAAACAGACATCTGCATCGGCTCCAGGATTTCCATTGTGAAACGCGAGGCTTGACCTTCAGCACATGCTGGAGAACTCTAACCTTCAAGCCTTCGAAAACATGGTGGTCCATACGACATGGGCCGATGAAGACTTCATTGGCCTGATTTCCATGGTAAGCAGGAGAACAAGCGTTCTCACTGCTCCAATGAACACCCTTTTGAGGTCCCTGGGGGCCTATCGCAGAGAGTGGGCCCAGGAGTTTGGTCGCACATACCTGCAAAAGCAGGTAAACCTTAGGCCCGGACGTCAATGAAAATGAAGATGAAGTCGAAGTGTGCGCGCTGTGAGGCAAGCGGCTTGAGAATGAAACTGCACACGAAAAAAAACAATACGCGAACCGATTTTGAATGACCAATATGAACGCACCCCAGTGTCTCTCGCTCGCGCCACAGTGCTTCAATGCTATTTTTTCGCAGTCATACTTTGCTGCATTTGACTACGCGGTTCTTGCTCCTATTAGCGATGCCAGGAGCCCCTAATAGCTTCTGGTTCCTAGTAGTAAGGCCCCTATTAGCGTCCTATAGCGTCCTCAGTCTTATGATGCAACACTTTCACAAATCGCAGTCGTAATGATCTTGGAGGCATCCTGTCCTGGTTAGGTGATCCACTCACTGACACTTAGTTGATAGTAGGTCACTGATGAGTCTCAAACTTTGGCTGGGTGGGGATCACTCTTGACCGGTGACTTGCTGTTTTGGTTTCATGTGTATCAGTGGTGAAACGGGATTGAAATCCTAAGTACAGCGCCTTTAGGGTCTTTAGAGGTTTGAAAAGTGATCACGGCGAACCAGTTCTTCTCTCTTTGTAGAATATCAAATACACCCCAGGCCCAGCGATCTGTTCATTTGAGATCTGATCTCTTGCCAGAGTCCTGCCACGGGGTTCGACCCGGAGATGCATATGAAGGTGTCTCTAAAATCAAAGCAACTATATACAGCAACCATTGCACAGTACGTTTTTTAGGGCTGCCCCTACTTTGGAATACACTTCAACAAGATCCACTTGCACTATTACTTGAGAGAGGATGGGGTGAACGAAAGGTAGCAGGGAATGACAAGTAATCCGGGACTTTGCAGACTACCGTCGTGTTTGGCCAGTTTGAAATCTCCAAAAACCGAAACAGGGAAAGCCTTTCCGACACAATCTGTCCAGGTTTTTTGCAATTTTTCGACCATTTTTGAAGCCTAGACACTTCAAAAACCATCCGTTTTTATGCGCTTCTCTGCCGAATCGCCACACAAAAACCTGCAAATAGCGTGGTTTGAGGGCACTTTTGAAGACTGGAGGAGCTGAAAGCACTAGTATTTACAGTGTTTTGTGGGGGCCACTTTGAGGCGTACATAGCCCAAAACCATCGCAATTTACAGGGTGTTGTGCCGGGAAGGTGCACAAACCCATGTAAATACCGTCGTTTTGAACTATTTTGAAGCCTCCAAAAGCCGAAAAAACAATTTCCGACAAGGTTTTTGGTCATTTTTCTACCATTTTTTGAAGCCTAGACACTTCAAAAGCCGATGGAGGTTTTTGGCCGGACAGCCACAGAAAACCCTATAAATTGCGTGGTTTGAGGGCACTCTTGCACACTGGAGGAACTGAAACTGCTATTTACGGTGTTTTCTGGCCGTTGACAAAGAGCCGCGCCAGGGTGGAGTTGAAAGGGGGAGGGCCCCCCCCCTGGCCTCTAAAATGAATTAAATGTCGGAGGGCGATTCTCAATGAGATGGGTGTCCACTCTGGTTATAATTCATTTTTGCTACAGCAAAAGGAAACTCAGGTAGCGTAACCGCTACCTTTCGTGATGAGAGAGGAGGGGGTGAACGAAAGGTAGCCTCCAAAATCCGAAACACAAATCCTGGTTGGTAGCCATTGTGTCTTTCCACCAGTCTGCATGTTTTCGTTTACTCGTTCCTTTCTAGTCTCGTGCGACGCTCCATGAAGCTGCCTGGGCTAAACTCAGGCTTTGCGTCACCTTTCTAGTCTCGCGCGACCCTCCATGAAGCTGCCTGGGCTAAACTCTGTCAGGCTTTGCGTCACGTACGCCGTGTCTGGCGTCAATTATGCTCCACTTGAACCATTCGTTGTGCTTCAGGATGTCTTTACCGGGTTCTGCCACAAAGCGGACCCGGTAGTAAGCAGCCCCGTGTTCGTCAGCAGGCCCGTGTTGGTCTGCTTGCCAAGATTCCGTCTGCAAAACAAAGAATCATCATGAATCATCACTATATCAGATCTGACAGTATCTTTCATTTATCGTGCGATTCTCGCCTCTTTGTTGAGGTACAAGAGCATCCAGTGGCCTCATGGTTGCAACACTAGGATGGAGGCCATCAATTCTAGCACGAGACTGGTCTTTCCCGCCTGCTTTCGCGAGCTCACGACAAATGTATATGTGGGACAGCCATCGGCGTTATGTAGTAGCTCGTAGGCGTAATGACTCATTGCCATCTCGGTAGAACGACGCGGCATCCCCGAGGCAGGAACAGCATTCGTTTGGACTGAGTTCTCAGCGCTGGATGGCTTTTTTGGTTCCGATCCATAGTCGATCGGGCGCCACCAGGTGAACTACCTCCTGTGGCTATCAGTGCGGAATGTCGCACGATGCTCCTTTTCGTAAGAGTACCGGTTGAGCAAGGCATGAAATCCATGCTTGGACCCGGTTTCATTGAGCAACGCTTTTCTTACGAACTTTTCCAGCAAACGTCCCTCTGGGCTGTTGTCAGCAGCACGACAGTTAGCCCCGCAGGAAAAGAAAGCACCTCCTCCTCCTCATCAACAGACATCTGCATCGGTTCCAGGATTTCCATTGTGAAACGCGAGGCTTGACCTTCAGCACATGCTGGAGAACTCTGACCTTCAAGCCTTCGAAAACATGGTGGTCCATACGACATGGGCCGATGAAGACTTCATTGGCCTGATTTCCATGGTAAGCAGGAGAACAAGCGTTCTCACTGCTCCAATTAACACCCTTTTGAGGTCCCTGGGGGCCTATCGCAGAGAGTGGGCCCAGGAGTTTGGTCGCACATACCTGCAAAAGCAGGTAAACCTCAGGCCCGGACGTCAATGAAAATGAAGATGAAGTCGAAGTGCGCGCGCTGTGAGGCAAGCGGCTTGAAAATGAAACTGCACACGACAAAAAAAACAATACACGAACCGATTTTGAATGACCAACATGAACGCACCCCAGAGTCTCTTGCTTGCGCCACAGTACTCCAATGCTATTTTTTCTCGCAGCAAAATGACAGTCATACTTTGCTGCATTTGACTACGCGGTTCTTGCTCCTAGTAGCGATGCCAGGAGCCCCTAATAGCTTCTGGTTCCTAGTAGTAAGGCCAGGAGCCCCTAGTAGCGTCCTTGCTCCTAGTAGTGATGGCAGTAGCCCCTAATAGTTTCTGTTCCTAGTAGTAAGGTCAGGAGCCCCTAGTAGCGTCCTTCCTCCTAGTAGCGATGCCAGGAGCCCCTAGTAGCTTCTTGTTTCTAGTAGTAGGGCCAGGAGCCCCTAGTAGCGTCCTTGCTCCTAGTAGCGATGCCAGGATTCTTGTTCCTAGTAGTAAGGCCCCTATTAGCGTCATCAGTCTTATGATGCAACACTTTCACAAATCGTAGTCGTAACGATATGATCTTGGAGGCAGCCTTTCCTGGTTAGGTGATCCACCCACTGACACTTAGTTGATAGTAGGTCAGTGATGAGTCTCAAACTTTGGCTGGGTGGGGATCACTCTTGACTGGTGACTTGCTGTTTTGGTTTCATCTGTATCAGTGGTGAAACGGGATTGAAATCCTAAGTACAGCACCTTTGGAGTCTTTAGGGGTTTGAAAAGTGATCACGGCGAACCAGTTCTTTTCTCTCTTTGTAGAATATCAAATACACCCCAGGCCCAGCGATCTGTTCATTTGAGATCTGATCTCTTGCAGAGTTCTGCCACGGGGTTCGACCCGGAGATGCATATGAAGGTGTCTCTAAAAGCAAAGCAACTATATACAGCAACCATTGTACAGTACGTTTTTTAGGGCTGCCCCTACTTTGGAATACACTTCAACAAGATCCACTTGCATTATTACTTGAGAGAGGAGGGGGGTGAACGAAAGGTAGCAGGGAATAACAAGTAATCCGGGACTTTGCAGACTACCTTTGGCCAGATTGAAATCTCCAAAAGCCGAAACAGCCCTTTCCGACACAATCTGTCCAGGTTTTTTGCAATTTTTCGACCATTTTTTGAAGCCTAGACACTTCAAAAACCATCGGCTTTTACGAGGTTTTTGGCCGGACGGCCGCAGAAAACCCTGTAAATTGCGTGGTTTGAGGGCACTCTTGCAGACTGGAGGAGCTGAAAACACTGGTATTTACGGTGTTTTCTAGCCGTTGACAAAGAGCCCCCCCCCGGCCTCTAAAATGAAATGTCGGAGGGCGATTCTCAGTGAGATGGATATCCACTCTGGTTATAATTCATTCTTGCTAAATTAAAAGGAAAACTCAGGTAGGGTATCCGCTACCTTTCGTGATATGGGAGTTTGCATGGTGTTTTGTTTTGTATGGTTTCGTTCAGCTGCTCAGGAACAAACATGACACCCTATGACACCCTATGACATCCATCCCTTCGCCGGCTTTGGCGTCCTTCAAGACCCCGAACCCGGACCGCTTGCGCCCGTCCGGGGGGCGGATGCACACGGCGCCGCCGGAGAAGTGCAACGTGAGGTCCGCTTCGTTCCGCGTCTCGAAATGGATCCTGGCCGCGCACCGCGGCGGGGACCGGACCGACCGCGTGGGGGAGCGCGGTCGGTGCGGGGAGACCGTGGCGGTCGAAGGGTGATGAGGTGTGTAGAAACGTTCCACTTTGCCCACAAGTCATGGTGAGCGAGTAGTGTGAAGAAAAGAAAAAGACCAGTGGTGGGCCAACCGCATCTCAGTGGTTGGGTGTGGATCACAATGCCGCCCTCCAGGAAAAGACAAACATGAAGTAACCGGTGCAATGGGCTGCAGACCGAAGCGTTGGGGTTCAAGTCATGAACCTAAAGCCTGTCAGTTTGGACAAGGTCATTTGCAGTGTCATTTGCTAGCTCCCAAACCATCCATGTGTGACCCTGATGTAGGCACATGTAGGCACCTATTCCATCTAATTATTCCATACATGGATGGTCTGGGATTGGAATCCAGCCCTGGGCCCTGCAAGTCCATACCACGCGTCGCAGCCACACCCTGGCCGCTCCATTGTTGCTACGTCCGTCCGGTTCTCCGGCGGTTTCTGAGCGTTCAGCCAAGCGTCTCGGAGGGAGGCAAGGAGTACTTCTTGCTCAAGGTCAGCGCCGGCCTGCACGTCATTTCCATGGAATTTGGAGCAGTCCCATGATGCGGATTCGAGGACCAACAGGTTGGTGGAGTAGTTTAACTCATTTAGCATAAATTAGCTATGTTTGCCATTACAGTACTTCCTGAGCCAGTCGATTCCCAAAATGCTGCCCACCACGCCATGGCCAAATCAGTCCTGAGTGAGCCGCTCTCCTTCACCAACGCCAACTGCTGCCCGCCCATGCGCTGCAAGTGCCGCAAAGCCATATCCTCCTGCAGTGGGTCCAGCGAACTGGGCATGTTTGTTCTGATCCGCAGACTGACACGGATGTGGACCACGGCCTACTTAGAAAGACGTCCTGTAACCTGCATCGCGTGGGAGAAAAAAAAGAACCCGAAGTCGGAGGGAATGGGACGGTCATCCCAACACCGAGGTGCTGTTACAATGCATGGTGTGTCTTGAGTCCTAAATCTGCGCACAGTCATGACAGTTTGCTGGCCAGGGAGGCAGAAGTGGAAGCACGGCAAACTGCACATCAATCGCATTGGTCCTGGTTTGGGCTTGATATGGCTTGATGTGATCCAGGACAAGCGGAATGCCATCATTGGTTTCAGGCTCGTCCCACTTTCCAAGCTCACCGCGTTTCAGGCTGGTTCGTCCCGGTCGTGAGGATGACGTTTTTCGACGATCGAAGTCGGGCACAACATGGCACGACGACAAGGGAAAAACCATTCAGTGTTGAAGTCCATGCATCACCGATCAGTCCATGCCTCACCTCATCACCCCAAAAAAAGATGGGCCTTTGCAGATCCATTCCGTGCCGGGAGGTGCCTCTGAGGGTGGAGGTAAGACATCCTCTTCCTGCTCCTGCTCTGCCTCCTGACAACTGGTTGCCATGCGTTCCAAGTTCTTCAGCTCTTGGATTCCACTGACGGAACACAGCACAATGTGACCATGAGAAATGATGATGAGAGTATAATATAATATAATATAATATCAATATCTCTCTATCTCTCTTGCCGGCATGACATGAAACTTCTACACCAACCTGACCGGGTGACGTCCGGCACCTCCAAATCAGCTGGAGTGAAATCCTCGAACATGGCCTGGGGAAGGCCCGAGGATGCAACGCAGCTCGGGATCCGGACGAAGGATGGGACGCTTGGAAACGAGGCTGCGCTACCTATACCCGGGTGCTTGGGGGTGCTCTTCTGGACGAGAGGGTGCTGGGGTGACTGAAAATGGTACCCTCACACTGGGCACGTTCCATTGAGCTGCTCCCGCCGGGGGATGCGGTGGATGATTCCTGAAGATTGCAGTCCGAAGCAGCTGAACGAGAACCTGGGTGCCAGTCCAACAATGCAAATATCTAACATTCCCCTTTGAAGGGCGACAAAACCATGGTTTTCTCTAGATTTAGATGTTCTCTTGGAGCCTTAAATCCAATCCAGGTCCTGGGACACTTAAGAGAGACAGCTGTCGTAGCAAGCAAAGTACGAGTACATTGGTGAAAAACGTAGTGCAAATTCCGCAATGGGGTCCGGTGCAGTGGGTCTTGGTCGACCTTCAAAACATGCGGTTTTCGTGGCGCTGGAGGGCGGTTGGGGGAAGGGCGTGTGATGCTTCTGTGCGCGGCTGCTTCTGTCATGTTTTTTCGCGGTGTTTGCTGGGGTTGGCTCACAACTCACTTGCGCACGCAAAACTCACCTCACTTGCGCAAGCGATGTTGGCAGCGCGCCCCCATGCACCTATACTGATGGTGAAGAGGCCATGTCCAAAACATCACTTGCACGCGCAAAAGTTAACTCACTAGCGCATGCATGAACCGCGACTCAGTTGCGCACACAGGCATGTTGCTACATTGGAATGGAACATATTTTTACGGCATCGGTATGGCATCCGTCAGCACGCCCCATACCTCGCTATTTTCCAATCAATGAATATCATGTCTTGTAAGCAAAGGAATCGGTTCTGGGATTCCTCCATCGGTCTAGATGGCTTTCTGCCATATTTGTAACATCATGGCCTCCCCACAAAAGGGACGTGTGCTTGAAATTTATTTCGAATTTCTTTGACGAACCCCCCCGAAATATTTCAAGGGCTAGGGGGTGGGTATAATGGCGCTTTCCTCTTCAAAATTTTGCCCGCGGGTGGCTCACAAAAGGTCTGCTATGTTGGAATGGCACCTTCCTCGTCTAAATTTTTCTTCGGGTGCCTCGCAAAAGTTTTGCTACCTTGGAGTGGCCCCTTCCTCATGTCACCATCAGGTGGCCCACAAACAGGCAGCTGTGTTGGAATGGCCCCTACCTCCTCTAAATTTTACCCGCGGGTGGCTCACAAAAGGGTCTGCCATTTTGGAATGCACCTTCCGACATACATATGCGCAAAGCGTATTGAAGCTTATCTGTCTAATGTGTTTGTGCAGCTAAAGAAGATATGAAACACGAGTGTGTGCAAGTTGTGCAGTAATGCAGACTGAACAGCAACAAATGCAGCACAGTAGACCAAACAGCAAAAATCAACAGAAGCAACAAGAGCAGAAACGCAGCAAAGCAACCAAAGCAACAAAAGACCGAATCGAGTCAAAAAAGAAACAAGGCACCAAAAAACAAGGTAAACACCAAAAGCACAAAAACTACAAAGCAAACAAGCAGCAAAAGCAAAACATCAGCAAAAGCAAAAGCAATGCAAAAAGGCAGCAAAAGCAGAAAAGCAGCAAAAGCAACATCTGCTGAAAAGAACCCCGAAAAAAAAAAGATCACCCTTAAGACAATGTCCCTCCATTTTTGTGCATACAAAGGTTGCTCCAGGTTGAAACATATTGAAACATGATCTATAAGAGCCCCTCATCCACCACGGTGATCGATGCTTGCTGACCACGTCCAAGCCACGGGGTCCAGCTTGCTGACTGGCGCCCAGGCACCTCAGCGACCAGATGCGGGGAATCCGGAATGCAGGCAGGGTGGAGTTCCGAAAGCATATAAAATGATATAACGAGATTACTATAGAAAATGTAGGTTAACGTGTTATATGAACATGGTTTATATCAATGTTTATGTATGAAAAATTGTTTATAATGATATAATTGTAGATTAACGAGATTAAGAACCACTGAACCACCCCATCCTTTTCATTATAATATGGAGTGGTACTTGGAGTGGTTTGCTCTGGCTCACTAACATGGAAGCCGAACATGGCGTATTTGCAACATGGCCCTTGCAAGACCATGTCCCTTTGGATTTCCACTTTCATGTTAGTTAGTATTATGGTATTGTAGATTTGTGGGATAGTTATGATCGTTGACGCATGCACCCTGGCGTCTCTTTGCCCTTTCGATGGCCCTTGACCGTGTCAACCAGCCACGACGGTGGCGCCTTGACCTGGAACGATGCTTCCGACGGTGGCCGAGTCATGCGACCAAAGGAGCTGGAGTTGATGGCAAACTCCTGAGATGGCAACGATCTGCGAGCAGAGAAGCACGTGCTTCTCGCTCGAAGCATGGTCCCCAAGTCCGTCCATGAAGCGATCGGAGGATCCCACGTGTATTTAGTGGATCAAAGTCCACTTACTGACTGTACAAGTAGGGACTTACAATTTCACAATCTGTGTGAAACCGTTAAGACCGAATGACTTCTCCCGCTTTCGGTTTCCAAACGTAAAACGTACTATATAATTTACATATTTAATCTATATAACATACTGCTGCCTATCAGAAGGAGTGTGATGACCATGCTGAGTCACACTCACACCGTACACCAATGTCCACTTGGAATTGAAGCCACTGACAACGCAATTGCTAGTGTTAAGGCTTCGGGTGGCTTGCACTAAGGACAAGTGCAACAAAGGCGAGTCATCAAAGACCATGCCTTCTAGAGGACAGGTTCTCAGTCCTCACGAAAAATAACTAAAAGTTACGCAGCAAGATCCACCATTGCACCAACAGCACCGGTGTATAACAAGATTGAAACCATAACAAACACATAATCAAATAAAACACATAAACGTGCAAAAACACTGGGAAGGCTTTTGTGTTCATTTTGAGCTCCCAAGACTTCAACGATGTCACTTGGTGTCAAACCTCATCCATTTCCCACCAAAGCTCGAGCACCGATGAGACAGTGAGCCTGAGAGCTGTGGCGACCAGTGCCAAGGTGGTAACTAAAGCATTCCAATCATTCAGCTTGTGGGCAATCTGAATGAAGCCCGCTTATTGTGCGATTATTTATCTGCAGCTATGATCAAAGCTGTGGTGGAAAAGGCCTTCCCTACGGTGCACACATGATCCACCTTGACAAGCACAACAACCGAGCGCGGTCGGCAATGAACTTGCCAAGTAGGAAGACGTCCAGTGAGCACGTTAGCCCATCGTCTCACTGTGCCCAGACATAAGGGCTGTCGTGGTCGAGACAGCACGAATCAACCTCCGGTAGCCCACAGTGTCATCATGCTGCACGCCCCACACCCGGCCAATGGTGTGGCAAGAGCTCATCGGATTCAATGGTCCAGAACCCAGCGCCAGAGTCTCTTGCTGGGTAGGGCTGGATGTGGGGCTAGCCATGACATGATGGCCATCCCGAAAGCAATAATTTTGGAGATCGAACACTGGATCCCCTTGATAGCCACCCTCAACCCTTCAAAACTCCAAGATCGCCAACATTGATTTAGTTATACTAAAAGCAAACCAACGTTGCCTGAACCACCCCCTTCAGAAGACTGTTCCATACATCTATCAGTGGAAGTTCTGGGATGGAATTCCTGATATGCATGGGGCCATCAAGGCTCCAGTGGTTTGATTCTTTCATGAACTCTCGTGCTTGACTTGCCTGCTTCAACTCTTGTACTTACTGGCGTCCATTCTGGGATGATGCTCACAAAGTGACAAAGCACTGAGATCATACCTGATCATACAGTTTGCGAGCCAGTGTTTTGCGCTGCAGCTGCGTGTCTGGAGTTGTACATGAGCTGGCAGCTTTGAGATTCGCACACCAAGCCACGCAGACCAGGCGTCCAGTGAGCACGTTAGCCCGACGTTAGCCCATCGTCTCACTGTCATACACTTTGGCGCCAAGTGCGTTGGCCCCAAACGCGCAGACACGAGGGCTGTCGTGGTCGAGACAGCACGAATCAACCTCCGGTAGCCCACAGTGTCATCATGCTGCACGCCCCACACCCGGCCAATGGTGTGGCAAGAGCTTATCGGATTCAATGGTCCAGACCCCGGCGCCAGAGTAGTGGAGCTCTTGCGTTGAATTCTAATTCAAGGTTTTAGTTCTAGTGGTGTATGCCGGCCGGTGTATGCGGATTTGTTTGGGAGCTATCACAAAGCAAAGGCCTGGAACACAAAAACTACGCCGGTGGTTTCTTGTAATTTTCTCGATGCCATTCTAGATGTTGGCTATGTCGGGTGTGTGCGGTCAGCATCTTTCAGTGGACAGGTCCAGCAGAAAAAATCAAATGCAATTCGGTAGCAAAAAAAAGGCACAAAAACTTATCTGTCAACTGTACCTGCAGGGAAATTACAGTTCAGTTTGGGGCCAGCTCCAGGATCTTAATGTCAACACCCATTGAAAACAAAGAGGTGACCCCAGTCAGGAATAGTGAAGCCTATTCCAACGCGACTATCAAACTGTGTCACATCTTCTAGGCTGGAACCGTTAGTCTTAACAAGCAAAGACCTCCACCCTAGCAGCGATGGCCTCCACCCTAGTAGCGATGGCCTCCACCCTAGTAGCGATGGCCTCCACCCTAGCAGCGATGGCCTCCACCCTAGGCGATGACCTCATCCCTGGTAGCGATGACCTCCACCCTAGCAGCGATGAGCTCCACCCTAGTAGCGATGGCCTCCAACTGGACACTGGACCAAGATCAACGCCAGTGCTTCAACAGAACGCTTGGGGTCCGGGCACGAAGAGCCTGGGAGTTGTGTGGGCCTTGGCCTCTGCAGCGAAGAGCCCTAGCCTCACGGGAAGACCGGCAGGAGCCCTCGCTCTGACGGAGATCCAAAGAGACTCCTAAACAAGATCCAAGAGGGATGTCAGATCTTAAATGCACTATTTTGAGAAAGAACCAAAAAAATATCTGAAAACCCTGGAAACGACCATCCACATTGGAGAACCACTCTTCAGAACCCGTACTGAACACATAGCTCTTTGAGCTGTCATCGCCTCCGACACGTGTCCAAACGCTGGAACGACCCTCTCCAAAGGCTTGCACCGCGCCTGGGTGCGGGGCCCAGCACTGCAACGGTCGCATCCAGCACTTGCTCCTGTTTTGGAGGCTTCGACATGACTCTTCAGTGACCATGTGGTCAAATGGGAGGATCATGGAGGATCTCACCCAGTTGGAGATCATTGGAGATTGTTTGGAGTCTGTTTTGGCAAAGTTTGGCTTCTGGAGCCCATCCCCCATCCTCCACCCATCCGAGCTGCCAGCATCCACCCACGTCCACATCACCGAGCCATCCGCCCACACCACCATCAACCCTTGATCATATTGCTATATACACGTCTTATTGATCCGGCTTCTATAGTAGCTATATATATACATACACTTATAATCAGTTATACATACACATCATGCAATCATTCCACATCTCTATCTCTATCCCTCTATCTATCCATCTATCCATCCATCGATCTATCTATTCTACCAATCGAACTGCTATCTATGAATCTACTAATATACAATTCTACTTTTTATACATAAATCTATCTATCTATCTATCCACATTCTTGTCACACAACGGATCACGTGCCTTCTGCGACTCAAACCGTTCCAACCGCCTCCCCAACAAACGCGCCTCCCCGCTCTGTGCCAGCACCGCTTCCCGGAAGGCCGGATCAGTGAGCACCGGTGGCGGCGCATCTCGTCCGCCAGCAGCCTGGCAGCTGAGGGGATCTGACTGAAACTGAGTAGAGCCACGGTCCGCTGAGTGGTGCCAGTCAGACTGGTGCCACGAAAGGAATGCGGGAATAATGGATCGAACGAAAAATCCCGTAAAGGGGGCGGCTTGCCCGGCATTCCCTACGAAAAGCACTAGTTCTGACATAGCTCGTCCAAAAAAAACACCTGCATAATGATGAGCATGCTTTCCAAGCTTCAGCTTGATCAATACTATCTTTGGAAACCACTCTTGCCATCGAATGCAAACACTTTCAAGTTTGCACCTGAACCAAGTGGCAAATTCAATTAGTCCAAAGCCCCAACTCGTGCACCACTGATGACTACATAAACGTCATCGTTGTTTTCGTTGAATTTCTGTCTATAATAAAACAACTGCGATATCAAGCCTCTGTTGCAATTCATTTGGTACAAAAGGTCAGGACATTTAGTTTCTTCCAGGTTATATAATTGGTTAATCGTGCCAAAATAATTACCTGACAAATGTACCTGAACAACTGTCCACATTCTATTTGCCGACTACGATATCATCAAGACTAGTAAATTCATGGAAATGCCCAACAGAGGGCTGGAGTACGTCGTTTGGCTACTTAACAATTACTTCGAAACTCACTGGCACTGAAGCCGTTTCTGCGGGATCTTGGCTCTTGGTTCGCCAGAACTCGTTCGAACGAGGTCTGTCCCTAGTAACCCCAAAAACTTGTAAGTTCATGTCAGAAATACGTATATGTACTTATAGAGCACAATAACAAGAAATAACAAGTCTCAAACACAAAAGCCATACACCAAGGGAGCCTCAAAACATCAAGCCATCAGACCATGGACTATGTATGTACATGATACCCATGGAAGACAAATAGACAAACCAAATGCAGCCCTGCAACCCTTGCAAATTGCTTGGTAAAAACACCGGCGAAATATTGGGGCTGCTGGTCCCGCGGACCCCGATCGCCCGATCGCTGCCGCTGCACCTGCGCGGCGGCCCTCAGGGACTCGGCGATCGCTGCAGACCGGTCGGGGCGGCAGAAGAGGTAGACCTCGCACCTGAGCCCCCGCGCTCCACGGCACGGCGCGGACGTCGCCGGGTTCGGACCGCTGCACCACTCACTGGAGGATTCAACGGTTTCGGGCT